ATTATTACGTTCTCATGTTTAAGTCACTCGTTCTGTTTCCAGGTGTCTGCTGTCCCAACAGTGATTGCCATGCGAGGTGGTGATGTCATCGATCAGTTTGTGGGGATCAAAGATGACGATCAGCTAGATTCGTTTGTCAGCAAAGTTGTTGGACCTTAAACCACCTGTCCCCACCCAGCTTTACACCACCTACGGTCCTGTTATCTGGGGTTTTGGCACGCTGGACCATAGTCCCAACTCTCAAACGCCAACAACTTTTGTCTAGTGATGGGTGTTTGCCTAATTAACCTTTTAGCTGAAGCTCTGTTCCTTTTTGCAGCAGCTGTTCTTTTTTTTTTTTTTTTTTTTTTGTCTTTAAAAATGTGACGGCACCATGAATCATGAGTCAGGTGCTGCGATGATGCATTCACTTTTTTCTGTGAAAGTCTGTTAAAAAGGAGATCACTTTTACAACAGTTGTAATGTTTAACTTGAGGGAAGGTCACTTACAGTTTTAAGAATGATTATAAAAAAAGTGCAAATCCTGAATGAGCTGTGACAATGCTAGCTGTAAATCCTGCTTTTGTCCACAAGAGGGTGGCATATTGCTAACCCTGCAGAGCAACACGTGGTCATTTTAAACCAGTTTGCCTAAAAAAGGACCGAGGAAGATGGACGTTTTCGTGTGTATTTGTGTGTTTGTTCTTTTCTGGGTCCTAACTGTGAAGCTGAAGACAAACAAGAACTGCAGTTTATTTTATTACTGAAGTGTACCAGAAACAAGACCACAAAATAAACAAGTTGAGATATTCTACATTTAAATCTTCTTGTGGTTTATGAAGTTTTGTAGCTTTTGCTATATTTTGCATGTGAAATTTCTACCAAATTGTACTTTGTAACAACCTATTAGCAAGTATTACAACTTCTACTTGCATAGACCAGCTCTTTTTTTTTTTTTTCATACAAATTTTTCCAGGGGAAGGCTTGTAAAATTCAGGGCCTGTCTTGCACCCCCTGCTGTTTTCAGTGCTACCCACTACATGATGTGGCTTTGAGKCCCGTGGTTAAAGCTTACAGGCCTCATTTCTTCCAACAAGTTTAAACTTGTGGACAGAAAAAGTTTTTCGTCTATTATCACTAAACTMTGATAGCCTTATTTGTGATGCTGGAACTCAGAAGAGTGGACCACCTCTCTGAGGTCTGAGAAATCCTCTAGAGAAGCTAAAAGGCAAAGGGGAGTGGGTTTCAATCACATACAAATTTGTCATTCCGACTTCAAATTAATCTACGTATAAAAAATATACGACAGATATTTCAACAGAAATGTTTGCCACCTGCTTGCAGTCGGTATGTTTCTCGCCTCTGTTCAGCATCTGTCTCAACACGTTTCTGTTACCTGAACTGTCAAAACCTTCTCATGGCATGAACTGAAACTCCCACACAACCACCCTCCACTTGTTCCTTCTTTCTAATTTACCTTCTTGTTGTCATCTGTTCAAACAGCGCCGTCTTCCCTCCTCCTGAACAACCTCCACTGGATTGCATAAGGAGTATTCTGCTGCCTTACGACCTGGAATTGAACAGGAATTTGTGAGGGTGGTGTATAATTTGATTAGCACAACATAACTGCCACTTTGAAAGTGCAAAACATTGTTTATCGAAAACTCTAGAAATGAGACTTGGGTGTACGTAAGTCAGGACTTGGTACAGCCACCTTTTACAGSAGTTGCAGACCCCTTCTCCCCAAAGGCCTCTGCCCTGCATGTTTAACTTGTCAGCTCAACGCACCTGGTTTGAATGAATACCAAGCTTTCGCAAAACCTAAAGAGGCAATTCAGTCATTAAATCAGGTGTGTTGGAGCAGAGAAACAAGTAAAACATGCAGGATAGCGGCCCTAAACGGCCAGGATCACCTACTTCTAACCTCTAAAGGTTTTGTACTTTGGATCCGCAACACTTCGGTCTGAATTCCTCCTTATTGTAGCTCCACAAGCCCCTCTTTCAAACCTTTCCTGAGGTGTGTCTGAGAGCAACCAGTTTTGGTGCTGTCTCTAAATRCAAACAAGGTGCTTCACCCCTACGTCAGTTCAGCCATTTTTGTAGTTTGATAGCAGAGATAAGATGCAGAAATGCTTTATTTACAAATTAATTAAAACATGTCAACAAGGGGAAAACTCATCCATCCAGCCTAACACGCTGGAGCCAGAGTCTGACCCAGAGCCAGTGGAGAATGCAGACCACGCACCTGCATTCACAAAATTGGTTAAGTCTTGTTTAGCAGTTCTGCAACAAATGCTGTGATTTTATTGTACAGAAAATGTAACTGARAAATATATTAAAAATATGACTCAAACAGAACTTTTTTGCACTCGTAGAAACCAGTGGGTTATTTCTACTTTGTTGTGTTTGTCTTGTTGGAAGGTGAGCCTTCATTTCAGGACAACAAAGACTGACCTCATTTGAAATCTGAATGTTCCAGGCAAACTTCATGTTGAACAATAAAAGGTTTATCCACATTTGAACAAGGTATCCTTAAGGATGTGGATTTGACACAAAGCTTCACAGATGTTCAAGACACACACCGGCTGTGAAACAAGTCACGCTCCAGCTCCTGTCAAACTAGCTGCAGCGTGTATTCAATTTACATTTTTCGTGCCATGTCCAAATTTGTTTTCCATTTGGTGGATTTTTCTTGGATTTTCACGAAAATGCACACCACACACTCTTTGTTTGACTGCGTTCGAGCATTTTCTACCTGACAAAATGCCTTTTCATTCATTTCTAATGATTCTTCAGCCTGGAACGTGGACACCCTGTGTTTTGCTCCAACCATCTTTCCTTCAAATCCGATAAGTTTCCCAGTCCCTGTTGATGAAAATCATCCCCRCAGCATGAGTCTGCCACCACCATGCTTCACTGTTGGGTGTTCTGAGAAGTGTTGTGGTACGAGTGAGACGCCATATCGTTCAGGGCGGGCTGTCAAGGTAAATAATTTAGCATGGCTAAATTTCTGCCTAGAACTGCTTATAAATATTAGTTTTCTATTTGTTAGCTTCTGTCTTGTACCTCAGCAACTTGTTTTTACATATTTTACTGACAAGCATTTCTATTAAAAATAATGGCTGTCACTGGAAACTGAGTTTAACTGATGTGCTGACCTAAATTTAACATGCTTCACCAGCTAACAGTCTGTTGAGTTGTCCTGAACAACATGGCCGCTCTGAAAAGTCACATGATAGTGCCTCCAGTCAACGCATCATATTGTGGTGAGTGGTGTTGTTATAAATACTGTATGTGTAAAGGTGGGTGAATATTAAGGCATGCACCAGTTTTCTAGTATTATATAAAACGTTTCTCTTGATTTTGTTTTTGTAAAGTTGTTTTTCTTTTGTTTAAGCTGTTCAGATTGAACCAAGCTGTTTGTCTCCTCTGGACAGATGTGTTTGATTTCAGTCTCTGCTTTGTTTTAAGGTTCCCATGGTTCCAGATGATAAAAAAGGACAGCGGTATGTCAGCGCGTTATCAGAGGTAAATTATTAACAATAAAGGACAGGGCAGGATTTGTAGAAATTGCTTTTCAGAGATGAGCAAATGAACCCTCCTGCTGGTTTTGGGTCAAAATGATCCACAAGACCTCAGTTTCAAGACTGAACTGTTTTGTAAAACAACAACAACAAAAGGAAAAACTCTCAGCGCTGTAAACACAGCCGGGCAGAAAGAAACCAGAAGTGAGGTCATGTGAGACTGAACAGGCCGGTAGCAACAGAGCTGTTTGTCAGTCATCACCTCGTCTCTCATGATGTTCGAAGCAGGAAAAATTCCCACACTGTTCTGCTTCAAGCGTGTTTTTACAGAACCCACAGCTGACAGAACCAGGAGCGAGGCCCTCAGACTGCTCATTAACCACTGTGGCATGGATTAGATCACTGCAATCAAAGCCCAGGCCTGTTTATTCACAGCTGCTCCAGAGAGACAGAGCAGGGGAATTCCTCTGGCRTTACTTAGGCAGGTGTGACTAACAGCTAATGGTCCAGATTGACAAATATAATACTTAAGACTGATGAAAAGCATTCCTGCTGGATGTTTGGAGCTGTCATCACCTTCGTTAATCATATACCATGTCGAGCACTTTCTCTCTCTCTCTCTCTCTCTTTTGTCTGTTTCTTTGCTGTTTAATAATAAGCTGAGGGGGCTCAAGGTCACAGGACACACACACACACACAGGTCTTTAGGCCATCCAGTCATTCTTTTTGTCTGCAGTCAGACAGAGAAGATGACGACACACCAAAGGTTCAAGAGCAACCCTACACTTCTTCCGCCAAAAACAATAGACCACACCTCCACCCCCCCAACTCTCTCTCTCTCTCTCTCTCTCTCTCTCTCTCTCTCTCTCTCTCTCTCTCTAACCCAGCCACTCTTATGACCATATATGGTAAAAGAAAAAAAGATCAGGGGAAACCAGCAGTGGCTGCTGCTGAGCAAGCTACAAAAGAGCAGCCAGAGTCCTTCCACCAAGTCTCTCCTGGTCTGACCGCCTTTTTCTCAGAGCCTGAAACTGCTCGCGAGTTTATTGTCTGAAGGTGCACGCTTCTGTTAGCAAAATATCTCATCAACCACTGGATGGATTTCAATGAAACTTTCAGAGAATAACCATTGGACACATGTTCACTACTGATTAAATTTTGGAGCCAACCCAATTTAAAATGGCTGCCACAGCCAGCTGAATTAAGCAAACATCCAAATGGCTACAGCACAGGCAATTTTATAGCTACTGACTTTTGGAACTACGTCACCTAGTCACGTGGAGGCGCCATGATGGACATCAGAAGTGAGGGAGGGGAGTGTTGAACAGAGCCACTGTGATTGTTTTCTCAAGTTGTTTTTGCCAGTACAGCCATGGATGTTTGTGTACAGGCACTTCATTAGCTGAACTTTTTCAGATGGTGGAACAGATCTGATGAGTTCCTGCTGCTCGTCCTCACCGCTCCACGGCCCATTTTAAACCAGACTGAAAGCTGAAGTTTATCAGACGTTCAAAACTTGAACCACGTCCACCGCACTGAATTTAATCTTTTCTTCCTTTTCAACTGGACACTTGTTCAGCCACAGCTGTTGAGCTCATTTTTGAGCTGTGTTGTAGGTAGTTTAGTGTAAATAGAGCTGTAACATGTATGGATCGAGTTTCTTTAAGTCGTATCAAAATATTTTCTACCCTGATGTAWATCTATTGAATTATTGTCCAGCACTGTTATGAACATTAATCTTCTTACTTTGTGAAAAAAAGCGTTTGCTGCAAATCTGTAAATACATTAAGGACTGCCAGTCTTTACAGTTGACGGCTGCAATCCATTGCCGTCTTCTGTCCTCATTCAAATTTATGTGACAAAATGACAGTTTGATTTGTTTCCTTGTCTGTTTGTGCGGCTGACTGCTCAACACCCTATGACCATTTTTGCAGTTAAATCAACAAAACAAAAGTGAAACAGTATTAGTCTACCAAGTGTCTGTTATTTGACTAGCTGTACAGGAGTTTACACGCACATAGGTTGTTTTGACGTTCGTCATGGTGGAATGGCTGGCCTTCTGAAGGGCATGACGTCACGTGCAAAGAGTCAATAGGGTTGAAAATCAGTGTGGTAGAAGCTGAGAGTCATCCTCAGCACRTCCTCTGAGTACAACACATGATGCWATATTTTTGCTTAAAACTYTTCCATTAACTTTTGGAGTTCAGTCTGTCTGTCAGCAAAATATCTGTGGGAGATGAATGAAAGGTCACCTACAACTCATTAACTTTTGAAATCAATCTAATTCAAGATGGAAGTCACAGGTAATCAAGCTTATCCCTGTAATGCACCCAATTTCACGGATAGTGAGCTACTCTTTGATGTGGCAATAGCTGAGTGTAACTAGCAACAAATGCTTAGAATATCTCATAGGAGATCGTATAACATCATTTACAAAAGTTGACCAAGATGACTTTAACTCCAGAGTATTTTTCCTAGTTTAAAACTCTGACGTTAAAGGTGGCGTGGGATATTATGTATTTTGAAAATAAATTCCCTGAGTCAAAAAAAAGTGATTTGTGAGAAAGACAACAACGCTGCAGCAACGACCCGACCCGGAACAGCCTGAGAGGATTCTGTGTTGATAGTATAAATACGTGGCTGTATTTGTGTCATCAACATGCACACGCTCTCCAACTTGTTGGGATTTAGCTCAGTTCCAGACAAACAATGTGACAAAGGCAGCCACTGTTGCTGCTCATATCACTCTCCATCTGCTTCTTCTTGAGACACGCACACGCCTCACAACATCACATTGACTTGAGAAGTGCTAAAGATGTCTGGATGACGGATGAGCAAGCGTCTAAAAGGAGGAAAAGCCATGCTTGTTTTTTCTTTACCTCACATTCCTSAGTTCTGTGAGTCAACATGTGTCTTATCAATACTTCCTGTGTGCGGATTACTGAAGAGAGGACAGAGGAAGCAGGATCAGAAGCCCACCCTTGAAGCAAGGACATGATTTGACTCCATGTTTCAAACGAACAGTGTTCAGTTTTTATAGTATCCAGACATATAAATCCTGAAAAAAAAAACACATTACATTTATTGGTCCAACTCCTCAAATCTTGTGGTTTCTTGGGTCAAAGAATGCTTCAACATTTTAAGTCTATTCAGATTCTCAATAAAGACAGTATCTCTGTGATACAATATAAGAGACTAATTGGTGACTCAAGAACATTGTGAGAAAATGGATTTAATCTCAGGGTGAACTGAGAAAAATTAAACATTACAAACAACACATACTGTAGTTTGTTTCCTTTTGAAAGGTAACCATGTGTCTTTGATGCACCAAATAAACACAAAAATCTCATTTCACTTCTTCCCTCTTTCCCTAAAGCAGGAACTTCACTGGACCGAGACTGATGGAGTTTAATCTACACAAGTACAAGTACAGGATATATATTGGCTCAGTTGGTAGAGATGCTACCTCCCAACGAGAAGGTTGCTGGATCATATCCCAAAATGGGGGCCTTTCAGGGTTTAGTTAGCATGTTCTCTCACTGCATGTGTAGGTTTTCTCCAGGTTTTCTCCCATAGACCAAAAACATGAATGTTAGGCTGACTGATAAATTGTCTTGTGAGTGAGAAAGTACATACCCAATAGTTGTTCATCCCGTTGTGTCCCTGTGATGGACTTGTGACCTGTCCAGGATGTACCCTGCCCCTTGCACAGTGACTGATGGAGACAGGCACCAGTGACCCTGAAAGAAAGATGCAGGTAAAGATGGATGGAAGTACAAGTAATTCAGAATTATCATCAGTGTGYAGGTCCTCTGGATGGGTTCTTCTTCAGTGAAACATTTTGTCTGTCCTCCAAGAGACTTCTTCAGTCTGATGAGTTTCAGGTGAACTCAGCCTTATAAGCACTGCCTCCACATGGTGGAAAAACAGGTTAGTCACGTGCAAAAGAGGGTCATCGCCTAACAATAGGCTTGATTAGCTCTATTGTTCATAGAGAGTCATGTGCCCCATCACCTGACTTATTGGTTTGGATGCTTCTACTGTGGTCATTGGTGTTTTGTTATGTGTATGTAGTGAGTGCAAGCGGGGTTCAATGTCCCCTTGTTTTTGTTTTTTCCCTGTTTGTGTTGGTATCGTTGGGGCCCTGATTCACACCTTTTGCTCACAGGGGGCTGAGTCATACTTGCAATAACAGCGTTGTAGGAGGAGGACAACTGGACACGCAGGCCTCCACCTCTGTTTAATGGTGGACGGTTTTTCTTCACAAAGATGGCTTCCTTTACTCCTCTCTCAAACCAACATTCCTCTCTATCAAGAATGAGAACATCTTCATCCCTGAAAGAGTGACCGCTGGCCTGTAGATGAGTGTAAACTGCAGAGTCCTGACCCGACAAAGTACACTAGTCTGTGCTGGCTCATTCCTTTGAWYAGTGGCTGTTTTRTTTCCCCAATGTATAACTGATMRCAGTCCTSCTGACACTTAACAGCATATACTATATTACTCTGTTTTTTGCCGGGGAACTAGATCTTTGGGGATCCCCATGCAAGCATGACTCAGCCTCCTGCAAGCAAAAGGTGTGAATCAGGGCCCCAACGATAACCAACACAAATAGGGAAAGAGAGACAAAAACAAGGGGACACTGAACCCCGCTTGCACTCACTACATGCACATAACAAAACACCAAATAACCACAGCCGAAGCATCCAAACCAGTAAGTCAGGTGATGGGGCACATGACCCTCTATGAACAATAGAGCTAATCAAGCCTATTGTTAGGTGATGGCCCTCTTTTGCATGTGACTAACCTGTTTGTCCATGTGGAGGCAGTGCTTATAAGGCTGAGTTCACCTGAAACTCATCAGACTGAAGAAGTCTCTTGGAGGAGAGACGAAATGTTTCACTRAAGAAGAACCCATCCAGAGGACCTACATTTTTTTTTCTTTTTGATTTTTTCTACCTGGATTACTGAGATGCATCAGGATATCATCAGTGTGGTTTTGTGGACCTGAACATTAGACTTGGAGAGTTTTCTCTTGAGATGGACTGGAGACACCCAAGAACATAAGGTTTTCAGATATCTGCGATAACTCTGCAACTATRAAGAGAGAAAAGTTGTCAAAACTCGAGCTGCTGCGACTCACACAAGAAAAATGAGAACCCCCATGAACGTTTCAAGACATGTTGGAGAATTCCTGCCAAAAGTACCAATAGCCAACTAGTCTCCAGTTGCAGAGATCTGGAGCTTAGGTAAACCCTTCTACTACTTTATTACACTTCTTCTTTAGCCTCACATTCCACATGCCCTCCACCTTGACGGTACGTTTTGGGTCATTGACCTGCTGGAAGACTCGTCTATGATCCATGTTCAGAGATCTTGCAGAAGGAGGAAGGTTCATGTCCAAGTCCCATTCTAAAGCATTGCCTTCCATCTTTGTGTGTTTTTTTAAGCTAATATCTGGTTCCTCTCTGCTGAAATAAAGAAGAAATAAAGATTTTTCTTTTAACTTTTCCCTTTTCAGGTGTTGCCACAGTGAGTAGTTGTTGTCCACCTCACTCTGTCCTCTGTGTCCTCACTCCAGCTACCTCAACGTTCTATCTTAACAACATCCACATACAGTATGTCCTCTTTGTCATTCTCCTGGCAGCTACATCCTTCTACCAATGGTATCCACTGTCCCTCCTCTGGACTTTGTAATGACTGCCTCTGGCCTTTGATGTGAAAACAGATTGCCCTCCTGAGCTACAAAGAATCTTGAAAGAAATCTGAAAAGATGATGAATAAATGTCAGCTTGGACGTTGCAGCTTCAGGATCTGGGTCAGCCCATTAACTCCCAGATCTGACACGGATCTGAGCTCCACACAAGAAGAACTCAGACGCCTGCTCTCCCTCAAACAGTCACGCATGAACACACACACGACTTAAACAGCGAGCGTTATGGGTGATCAGTGCAGTGTGCTCGTCGTTGTGAATGGGTTTCTTTCCGACTGAGTGGACTATATAATGGATTCACACACCCTGAATTACAGACACACCCTGCTGCTGTTACAACCAAGCTCGGGAGGAAAAAGGAGAGGGAGACAGGAAGCAGAGGGAGGAACGTGGTGAGGTCAGAAGACTCCATATTTGGTCATTCATGCCTTCATTTTAACCAGGCATCTCTTTCTCTTCTGTTTCGTCACTTCTACTGTGAAATGCTTGGAAACTTTATTTTGACAGCTTGTTTTTGATTTTTCCCCCCCCCCCCTACCCCCATTTTCCTCTTTTTGTTTTTTTCCAGCATCTGGTCCCACTCACAAAAACAGTTTCACCTTTGACCTCTCAGATTAAATTTTCTCTGCTTCTTGTTCATTTTGGGGCAGGAATCAGGGGTTAYTGATTTTTCCAAAGCAGTCACTGGTGTCATCTGTGCTTTCCTCTCCATACATGGAGTGCCAGGCAAGCAGCTGAATGTAAAGGAAAACACTCAGACACATTCCTCTGTTACCGACACACACGGTGAGCGTAAATCACACTTTGTGTTGAAAATGGAATTTAAGGAATTTGCCAGGGAATGTCCAGTGATTTAAAGTAACTCTTGAGGGGGAAACAGTTGTGACTTTTTATTGTGTGGTGCAATGAGTGTGTAGTTTAACGCACATGTTCCCTGCACTGTTTGTGTCGGAGCTTGTTTTTCCTGTCTGTTATCTGGCAGCGAGAAGACAAAACAGAGGTCACGTGTTTGTTTGTCTGAGCAGAACTGCTGGCATACCTCTTTGAAGTTCAAGACTCAGTGCGACGATCTTTTCACTTAAAACCACAGATTGAGATCAGAAAGTGTTTCTTCTTGCAAAAGATTTTTATCTGTATCTGTATCTTTGAAAGCAGTGCTTAAATATTTTGCATGTGTGTCACTGAGGAGCAGAAAAATGTAGGTTTTTATTCACTTTAATAAGGAGGTGTAAAAACCATTAACTGTCAATATCTTACCTGTTGCAGATACCCCTTTGAATATAGATTTATAGTTTACGACCTGAGGTTTTTTTTTTATGTCAAAGTGATTCTAAACGCTATTTCTGAAATCTTCACATTGTCTTTTTTTTTTTTGCACAGAAGTCAGGGATGTTTGTGTGGGGAAATGGCAGCAGTAGAAGCTAGTACTTTCCGTGGATATGTAATGCCAAGATTTTAAAAATAGGATTCATGTGAAGTGCCTGGAGTTGTTTTAAGATGACAAAATCCTCTTTTTAAAGTGAGTCAGTTTGTACTGAGTTGACGAGCTAATAAAGGCTAAAGTGAGTTTTGTTGTCTTAGAACTATTTTCAAAAACTTGTAGTGACTTGTGCCAACACAGCTTTTAAACTTTTGTACTATCACAAATTTGTAATTATACAATTGTTATTGCAAAAAAAAAAAATAAAGTTGTGACATTTTAGCCAAGAGTGCTATAGCTAGCTGCAGATGCTGTTTAAACTTGCAAATAACCATAGGATTCTATGTCAAAAATGGTGATGCACAATTGGCTGTAGTGCAAACATTTTTAATATTAAATTATGAAATTTTGGGGACTGGAGTTGCTTTAAGTCAGTTATCTTTGATCTTGGCTGTGTTTGGACTAGCCATTAACTCATCAGTCAGATCAGATTTCAACTGTTTCTCCAAATTGAGATTATTCAAAGCGTAATCGACAACAGTTGTTTTTAACTTTCCCACAGAACCGCACGTCACAGTCCAAAAATAAAAAGGAGATGTTTATTTACTGTGCTGCAATTCTTTCTTGTGATATTTAAATACAAAACAGCTGATGTTTGTCATGTCTGCAGTTCAGTAATTGTCTGAGTAAATGTAAGGATTTCTGTTTTCTTCATCTTCTCTGGTGTCGCAACCTTCTATTATTGGCAACWGTCACTAATGATTTCCGAAGTGCCTTTTAGCAGATTTACATTGATATGCATCGGTGTTAAGCTAACAGCTCATCAAATCTTTCATAAAGAGAAGCTTCTTTAAATCTGCAATGTCATTGTTTTTGCAAACCCAGTCATGTCAGTAGTTTGATGAATAACCAAATGATCGAGTTTCAGGGCTCGGTCAATCTCAACCTGTCAATAAAGACAACTTTGTGCAATCACTGAAAACAAAAGCTTGAGATCTTCTGTCTGTCTTTTGATTGTTAAACCTCTTTGAAACAGATTTGATCTGGAATGAATCTGAACAACTTCAACTTTGGATCAACGATCTGTGACAATCTGGAGACAACACAACTCCCTGTGGTTAGTTGCAAACATGATACAATAAAAACTATTAGATCGCTCCATGGAAGTGTCTGGAAGCAGTTGTTGTACAGGTGGGGCTCCTGAATGAAATGTTCCAGCTGGTGAATCTTTAAAAAAAAAACACATTCAACAAATAGATGCTAGCACTGAACGCTGCATAAAATCACTTTTGTTTGTGGCCATCAAACTGCAATAATTTATCTTTTGATACCGAGCTGTTATTAATGTGGTAACTGTCATTATTTACATTTTCCCCACTGTTGTTGAATTACCACACCTCTTAAAGTGACTGCTGGGAGCTGGGAACAGTGACCCAGAAAGGACAGAGTGGCTAGAGACTCATTTTTATTCTACCTAATGAAACGTCATAAATTCATTTCTTCTTGGAGATAAAATATATTTGAGTTGGACTGAAAACTGTTTGGCTCATTCATTTAGTAAYATTTGTATTTTTCGAGATATTTCCCTTAATTTACAAATAATGTTCTCTTTGAAATCTGCTTCAACAGGATACTTCATCTAGTTCTGTCTTTTTATGCTGCTTTCAGTTTTTACCTACTTTTAGCTAGCCTTTTTCAAGTTCTAGCTCGCTTCTTGATAATTTTAACCTTCTACTACTTTAGGCTGACCGTTGCCATTTTAAATTATTTGATTTTTTTTTTGCTAGTCGCTAATTTAAGCTGACCGATGCTTCAGCTTGTGTTGGTCAATTGCTATGTTTAACCACTCTTTTGCTACTTTAGCTTTTAGCTATCTCATCCCTCTTCTTGCTAGCCTTTTGCTTCTTCTAACGTTTGACAATATTTCACCTCYATCTTTAAGATCTTGTCAGCTTCATCAGCAAATTTCAGCATTTAGCGCTCAGCACAGAATTTTCACCGTAAATTAAATAAGTGGACATTTGAGTGTTAGCTTTATATATACAGTATTATGTTTTACAAACTAGACTGTAAAACTATTGTTTTTTTTCATCGCATTTCAAATGCTCTTTTATTTATTGCTTTTTAAATCATTGCTTGTTTTGTGAAACAGGAAACGTGTTTGCTTTCAGTCTACTTTTTTTAACGCAATGGTAACAACCTCAATCTCTTTTTGCACACATGTCTTTTTGGACTTGCACAACACTTTGAATAAAAGTATTACGAAAATCTAAACCTTTTTTTGAAATCTTTTGAAGTGAATCTTTGGTTTGACAACAAAGAACAGGTTAAAAAACACCTGGGACATGCTACACTGAAATATTTTGACATGCTGTTTGGGTTGATCTAAACAGATGTAAATTTTCAGCACTTCACTTTAAAATAATTTAACATTTCATTGCTGACGCTCACTTTGTGCCTTCAGCAAACACGTTCATACTGTAACTTTCTCTTCTGTGTGAACTTTGGCTCTCTGTCTCTGCAAGACTTTTACGACTCCATTATCAGTTTCCATCATCATCTCTTCTTTCTCACCACAGACTTCTTTTATCTGTCTATCAAATTGTAGAAATCTGTTTCAGACACAAGTTTTCTAATGCTATTTTTTTCGTGATAATCATCGTTCACAGCTACGAGACATTCCTTTTAGTAGAGAAGAAAATAAATGTCAGGATTGATTTGGCCTGTTTTCCCCTGTTGCATCAATCAGATTATCACCTGCAGCGGTTCTCAGACGTTGTTGACATGTCTGCTCATGAAAGCAGGTTTTCCAGTTTCACTGTTTACAATACGTTAAATAACTGTGCGGCACTTTAACAGTGATTGGTACAAAACTATGACTCCATGTAGATTTCCTCACACTGAATTATTCTAACAATCAAACAGGTGYACAGTTAATATCTTACCTGTTGTAGATAGCTTTTTGAATGACCCAATACTTGAGAAAAAGTTTCGGTCAGACTGGATTAACAAGTTAACAGCTAGTTTGAAGACCAAATGGGATTTTTGACTTCTTAAAACAGATTTGTCAACTTTTAGAAATGCCTCATGCAAATGCCATTTTGTAAACATTTCCACCATCGTTAATTTTAATTTACATGGTTGTTTACGTGTAATTTTATGGGTATTTGCAAAAGCAAAGAGTAGCTACGGCTAGCTGTAGCTCTTCTGAACTGTACTGACGAGCTAAAGGTCTGTTTTTCTTATTTGGGACAGTTCAAAGCGCTATCTGCAAGTGGTAGGACATAAATYGTTCATAACTTTTCCCCTGAAGCCCACTTCAAAGTGACTGAACACATTCATTTAGACTTCAAAATATACGTCTATAGTTTGTCAAAATTACATTAAGTGACTTTTTATGGAATATTTAAATCCTCAAAATGCAATTAGGAGCCAGCAGGGTGGGATGGTATCATTCTTATTAGAAAAGTCACTATTTGTTTAAGTTCTTCATGATGACACGTTTCAAGCTCATGAGCTGAACAGACACTGAATCATCCTCTGGGCCACTGTCTCTCCTGCGCTGCTGACCTTTGACCTACTGTCACAAGCCAGAAAGCAACTTATCCATCCCATATATCATGAAGAGGTACGCTGTTATTGTACCACCTTTGAATGTGCATAGAGTAAAATAATAATAATAATAATCCTTTATTTGTCTTGCACTGGAATTTTCTCACTAAGACATACAAAGGATTATTACATTCCATACATTATTTATTTTACCAGACATGGTTGAACCACTACAAGAGATTTTCCTGAAGTTTAAGAAAATAATGATTTGACTTTCCAATGACAGCATTATAAACTGTACTGATAAGAACAACAGTATGGTGAGATCAGTCTAATCGCTGGCAGCAGKGATAGTACAAAACAGCTGGAAACATCACCGCTACTGGTTTTCAAAGCCAGCATCGGCTGGCACATGAAGGGAGACCCTGAATGGAGCTACCCAACCTGTGACTGACTGGTACTTATATGGTCATAAAAAACCCTTAGCATGCACATACCACGCTAATTAAACACGCATTCATCGGCAACCCCTCTCTCCACCCTCCTCTCAACTCTTTCAAGTTCAGTTTTCTCCCACTGTGCTGTTTGCCTTGCAATGCAGCTCTGTCAATCATCTACATCTGCCCGCCTTCTCGGAACGTGATTGGTCCAAAGACTGTGGTTTATAAAACAGCGGCAATGATTGGTCCAGACACCATGGCCTGTCTCCGCCTCCTCCTGGACCGCACCCCGGCTTTCAGCCTGAAGCGGTCTAGGAACTGAGTGAAGTCAAAGCGAGCCAGTAAGCAGCCGGTAGAAGAGGGCGGGTAAAAAAAAAAAAAAAAAAAAGAGAGAGACTGACTGAAGCAGAGGGAGGAAACGAGCCTTGTAGTGTAGTCCGAACTCTCTGCGAAGCTGCTCTCGACGGGAAAAGAAGTTTGACTCGCGGCGACGCTGACTGAGCCCTCCGGTTGTTGATAGCCACCTTCTCTGAAAGGCGACCAGCAACCAAAAGCAGGTAACATTAGCGCTTTTAGCTAGCACTTTTTGTTCACCGTTTGTAAACTCGTTCAGCCTCGCAGCAAGTGCGGCGAACCAGGAAGCACGGTTGACTGCTGCAACTTCAAACCGAAGCTGGGTGGAGTTGGACCTCACCGTCACAGATTTAACCCGGGCCATTATATGTTTAACCAAACCGCAATGGAAAAACATTTATCGGGCTATGATGTAATGCACGGGCCGATTTTAGATGTGCAGGTCAATAGACGTAGCCAACTAGCAGCTGGGGGGCAAGCTAAAAACTTAACGGTGGAGACCGGAAGTGACTCGCTTGAATGAGTTGTTGGAAAGGCCGGGAGGGAGGACGTGGTTTCAGCTCATGTGGACGCGAAATAAATGTCAAACTAAAGTTTTTGAACACCGACGTGGCTGAAGACGTATATGCTTTAGCCTGTGGTTGAACTTTTTGTTGTTTTGCGGTCGGTTCCGACACTGTGTGGTCGGTAACATCATGTCTGACTGGCAGAATAACGTCAAAGGTTTACCGGCCGACTTAAGAGGGGGGAAAAAACCGAGCTGTGCTTTTCCGCTGGCTTCATCTACACTGAACCAGGTTATCTACACGTTTATTCACTCTGTCATTGCTTCTCTATAGTCATGCTGGCAGCATAAAGGAGAAATTTTATATAAAAAAAAACTGTATTGACAGTCCCTTGTATGTCCATGCTTTTTTGACTGGCATTTCATTGTAGATAATCCCAATCAGTGCTGTTTTGGCATATTTTTTAAAATTAGGATATCTTAGATAACTGCCATGTCAGTTTTTAATAAGCTGTAAATATCTGCTTTAATATTAAAAACCTAATGGTCAGTTTGATTCTTTATATAAAGCTTTAAATTAACTTTGAGTGCTTAGTAAAACAAGAAAATGCTGTTTTATATGAGCTATTTTAAAGGTCTGGTGTGATAGAGGTGTGTGTTGGATCAAAAACCTCAGTACAAACAGGGTAAAATATCTAGTTTTTATAAAATGCTCTGTAATTAAAGATTGATCTGGGGGAAAAAAAGCTTGGACTTGTTGTAGATGGACAGTAATAAGGAGTTTTACTAATGYGCTATAAATTTATAGGTTTGAGTAGCATAAAAATGCAAGGGTTGTAATTTTTTTGCCGCGCACTTAAATATGATGAATAATCGACTTGGCAAAACAAGTTTATTGTGGCATTAAATTGTTGGGCCTCTGAATCAAGTTGAACACGTTTTGTTCTGTTACCCAACAACACTACCCACATCTTTTCCAATAATAGCATTATAAACTCTCAAAGATAATCAAACTAAATGGCTTTAAAGTCTTTTGAATGCTTCAGCCAATGCTGATGTTTTTTATTTTTTCATTTATCCTAATTTGCATAAAGAAAACCACAGTTCATTAAAAAAAATCACAGTGTATCTGTCGCCTTCTCATCAGGTTTTATCCTGCTGTGTCATGTCACATCCAAACAAGAGTTGTGCTTTGTGAGTACAATTAGTTGGCACGTCAGCCATGTTTGCACTCAGGGAAGCAAACACTTTGGTATGCACTGCACTCCCTAATATTTTTGACTATTGCAGGTGGTGAGGTATTTGGACCAAAAGGAGGTCAAAGAAAAATGCTTGAACTCAGCATTAAGGTTACTGAGTGTAAAAATTGCTTTAACTCTGGCAATCTTTTACTCAAACCTGCAGTGCTTTTTCAGGGAGTGAGCAGAGGGCTGTATTGATCTCGAGTTTAATCAGAACCATAAGGTTCAGCTGTTTTCTGCCAAGAATCGGTAAAATCACAAAGTGTGTGAGCTGATGATTTGATACACTGGCATAGACACCACAAACAAAATAAATAAGTTAACACCCACGTTAACTGTCGTGTAAACTTTTTTATCAAGTTCATATTTGAGGATGATATTTTCCAACTGTGATCTCGTCATCGAAGAGTTGGGTTCATTCGCCTTAAAAAGTCATACCGGGTGACAGGCGGTGCATCACTTCCTGTTTGTTGGGTTCGAGTCATTTAGTTAAGTCAAGTCAGGAYGCTGCATTGTGAAATCGCTCCTCTGGAGGCCAGTTCAGCTGACTTATTGCTAGTTTTAATGTGTGTGGAACCCCCTGCACAGCTTATTGCATTCCATCATTCGTGTGTCAGCAGTGCCCATGCACAAGTCCCCGCCCCCCCCTCCCCGGGAGACTTTTGTTCTATGGACTAGACAAAATTAAATGCAGACATTTTTATCATATGAACAGGGAGCTTGGGTTTCAGGCCATTCGGTTCTCCTGTGACATTGTTTGAAAATGTCTGTGGATGTTTAGCATGGTTTAAGGGCAGTGTGACAACAGTGTGGCTGTCTTCTGCAGTTCTGAAATTACTGTTGGTTAGTTAGTTGGTGACTTTTGACTGCTTTTGTTGGCCGATAATCTCATGATTTCAGATTATCTTGCTACTACAAACAAGAAATATGAGAGGTTAGAAATTCTAAGAAACTTCTTATTCTTTATTGATACACTTTAATGTAGTGATTTGTGTGTTTTTGCCCTCCTTCTGCAGCCCTAAATGGTTAATTATCACCCACATTTTATTGAGGCATGCAGTCTTGTAATTATTGCCTCTGTGTTCATTTGTTTGTAAAGGATTTCTCAATTCTAGACATTTCTGAACAAAACTCAAATTAATTCAAGATGGCCATCACAAATAATCAGCCAAAACAACTGCAAAATAACTATCACTCAGTCAGTTTTACAGATGTTGAGCTAAAGTTTGGTGTGGTTGTAGCTTGAGTCATCCCCCAGCACATACTTAGTCTTAACAGATTGCACAATATCTTTGTTTAAAACTTTGGCACGCAAAGCTTCCTTCAAGGGGCATGACTTTCACTGCATATTGTTTTTTCACCAATGCATTCATAGATATTTTCTTAACCCAGAGAAATCTTTTTGTAGTATATAAACCACTTGCCTGGTAAAAACCAGACCCTTGTCCTTCACTTTGCTTCGTACGAGGGTCTGGACTCTCGGATATAGAGAAGCGATTGTTGCTGGAGGCGTGGCCTCTGCTGAAGTTTAAAATGATTGGATCGGTTGGCTGCGATGTATGTCGTTGTGAAGGAGGCTAAGCTAAGAAGCTAACCTGAAATCGCATGTGCTGTAAACAGCCCTACTGAGAGGAGAAATATACCGAGCCAAACGAGACGACTGTAAATGAGAGCTGCTGCTTTGTCAGACAAATTTATTTTAATTTGGAAGCCTTATCAACACAGACTGGCTTCATTCACTTCCTCCACTGCCGCATGCTAAACTAACTAGCAGACACTGCGCAGAAAATCGACGTAGTTCAAAACTCCTCCTTCTGTTTGCTGATTGGCCCAGGTGAAATAAACTACAAGCAGACACTGCGGAAAATCAACGTTCTGTTCTCTGATTGGCCCGAATGAAATGCTCCCAAAGAAACCCGTCTCTATGGGAGAAATCCCAGACGGAGCAGTGAAGAGAAACTAGAATTGAGCGGAGCTGTGTAGGAAGGCAGTGGCCAGCCTAATAAAACATTAATGCCTAATATGGTTTAAGATGGAGTGAACATAGTTTGATGAAAAGTTTATATTGCTTTTAGGACTGTTTCTTTTAGCAGTAAATGAATCTAGTGAAGCAAGTAGCTGTGTAGGTTTAGGGTTGCTTGCTGCGTTTCTTCTGATGATAGCTAACTTTAACCAGTTAGCATTCACCTTCCATGTCGTCATCCCTGATGGATCCACACCTTTTTCTTGAACGACTGCATCCGAATCCATCTGCACTGGCTGCACAATACTGGGAAAAAAAGGAATTGTTTTTATTTTTATTTTATTTTTTTGTTTTGTTTTGTTTTTTTAACCCTGCGACATGAAAAAATACAGAAATTTTCAACAGATGATCTGAAGTTGAAAAACACTTCAGGTTATGCTGCCATCCTGCCATCTTGTTGACGATGAACCTAAAATTATCTTACCTTTTTTATGTTCATGTTACAAGCATGTTTTTTTTTTTGTCTGTATTAGAGAGTTATTCTGCTGGGAGTACTTGTTTGCTTCTATCATGTGCAAATATAAATTTAGTTTTACCACTAAGGTTTGTTTGCCACTGGCAATAAACAATCTAATGTTTTGTCTCTGTCTTTCTTGGTTTCTGTTTCGGTCATGTATAACCGTATTTCACCCCTTTTACTCCTGTTGTCTGCAAATTTGCTCTCTTCCTTGTTTTCATCAAGATCATCAATGTCTTCCTCCACAGCTCGAGAATTCACCAATAACACTTCTTTCAAACATGTTGCCATTATTGTCCCAGAAGTTTCAAGACAAAATAAGAGCTTTAGCTTTTTTTTTTTTTGACACAAAGCTGCCCATTTCCACTAGCAGAAGCAACCTGTCAAAATAAAATCCATAACCATTTAATGCAATGACTTATGTTTTAAGTCTAGAGGTGCCAAAAGTGGGACCATTGACCAAAATTGGCCCTCCAAGCCATTTGATTTGGCCAGCCTGCAGTTGCCCTGTTTCTAGGTTGTAATTTCTTATCATCCCGTGTAGAAACACAGCATTTCCACCTACAGTCACCCCAATGATTATATAAGCAACTGTAGTGCAGATAGTTTTCACTATTTGTGCTTACTTTATCTTTGAATTATATTAAAATTAAACATGAAATACAAGTTAACTACAAGAGACATAAAGATTAGATTTAAGCACACACATAGATTTGTCACACTTTCTAAGACCACAAATGCTCATATTTTATCATTATATGAAATGTCCCATGAGCCTTTACTTCCTGAGCATACATCAAATTTTCTGCATGAGCCAAAAAAAACAAAAACCGAAAAACGTGGGCTGCTGAACTTGCTAGCTTAATTGTAAAAGAAATAAAAAGGATTTTACTCAGTTTTTGCACTTCATGTATTATTATTAT